TTGTATATGCTGTTAAGTGCCAGGAGGACTGCGACCAGTTATACATCGGGGAAACAAAGCAACCACTGTTCAAAAGAATGTCCCAACACAGACGAGCTACATCTAATGGCCAGAACTCTGCAGTTTTCACTCATTTACAGGCCAGCGGTCACTCTTTCAGAGATGAGGATGTTCTCATTCTTGATAGRGAGGAACGTTGGTTTGAGAGAGGAGTAAAAGAAGCCATTTTTGTGAAGAAAGACCRTCCATCATTAAACAGAGGTGGAGGCCTCCGTTTTCAGTTGTCCTCCTCCTACAGTACTGCTATTGCCAGTATCACTCCACCCCCTGTTAACAATAGGTGTTAATTAGGTGTCARTGATAGCCATGTGATGTGAGTATCAGTCACATGGAGGCAGTGCTTAAAAGCCTGAATTTTGCCTGAAACTCTCAGACTGAAGAAGTCTCTTGGAGGAGAGACGAAACGTTTCATTAAAGAAGAACCCGTCCAGAAGACCTATACAATTTTTTCTTTTAGACAGAGAATAAGTTTGTTCTACAAGAGATGAGCCTGTTAAAYAAAAGCTCTGCCTCCCATTCTACTGTTAGAAACACCAGGAACCACGAGTAAACCAGCAGACTGAGAGCAAAGTGATCTGTTTGGAAAATATGAACAGATGGATGTAGAGTGAGGAAATGTGATCTGTTTGTCCTCCAGCAGTTTAAGCCGCATAACTAAGGGACAGCTAAGAAAACCCACGCCAGCCTTAACTACAGGATTTTTCAAAAAGATAACTCTTAAGTCTAGTCTAAAAGTAGACAGAGAATAAGTTTGTTCTACAAGAGATGAACCTGTCAGATGAAATCTCTGCCTCCCATTCTATTAGAAACTCTAGGAACCATGAATAAACCAGCAGACTGAGAGTTAACAAAATGATCTTTAATAGGTATATATGTTAGACATAAGATYTTAAATTTTATTCTGAATTTGASAGGGAGCCATTGGAGAAAAGCTAAAACTGGAGAAATATGATCTGTCCCTCAGGAAGAAAATGCATCTGGAAAAAATACTCGTGCATCAAACATCTGATGTAAATTTACAGTTGCAGCAGGTCCGGTTCACTCATATTTCACCATAGATATGTAAGTGATGACATTTTCTTTAGTTGATATTTTWTTTGAAGGTCTGAACATTAGTCTATAATCATCAAAAATCATCCATTTATAAAMTGTGGTGACTACAAACAGTACTTCATGAGKTTTTTTTWTTGTTCCTATAAGAATGGCATYATATGTTGGTCACAAATAGGGCAGTACATAGAGAAGATGAAGGCCAAAAGGAGTGTTATGATACTCCGATGGCCACTACTGTACATGYCGACTGCATAGCAACAAAGGAGCATGTCTGATACTGTTGCTTKACTGCCCCTTACACATGCATCTATGCGCATGCACGTGCAACACCGTCACAGATGCCTCATCCAGCTATCCGCTCCCTTCATCCCATGTGTGCACAGCCATCTTCCCACCTCGCACAGGCCTGCGCCRCCACATTTCCACATTCATGGGTCATCCATTCCCTGCGCTCCCTCCCCCATTTTGCACACAGATCACCTCGCACTCTGCCACCCCCACTTCCCTGCCTGACAACACCGCCGCCCGCCATCCCATAATATTCATGCACACGCTCCACGCACATTCACACACAGCAGTGCATTCAGACCCTTTTGTTGGCAGAGATGCCTGAGCAATGCGAGCGTGCTCGTGCGGTCATGTCTATGCCTGACGTGATTATTGCATCTGCCTTCAATATGCCGAGGCAGGTAGCCCCACAGATGCAGAGAACCAAAGCAGATGAGGTGGRAGCAAAAGGTGATGGGTCACATTTCCAGCGGGGAAAGCGTGTTCATGAAGTCCGGAGTTACCCTGAAGCAACCATCCTGAATGAGGCCAATCATCCATCCCACGGCGAGCATGAGTGAGTGGAGCAGGATCAGTTTAGATGTGCCTCATCAACACAGTGGAGACTCCCAAAGTCAACTGCATCCTTTAACGAGGACAGTGCAAGTCATCTCTGTCATGCTGAAGCCTTGACTCGGCAGCCTGGCTACAGTCAATTACTGTGGGACCATTTCAGGATGATAAAATACCCACGAAATAGTGTGAGGATAATGATAAGAGAGAATAAAAAGAGGGCAAGTTATTTACGAGAGAGGGGTGAAGGGATGTGCACAACAGAGGCGCCGGACGTGACAGTGGCCAGCTCATCACCATGGCGTTGCTGTGGGAGACAAGGAGGACGTCACTTGTGGAAGCAGGGGACACAAAAGAGGAATACGACACAAGGAAGAGTCAAAAAAGGAGGGGAGCTGAAGAAACCTGTCTTTGTAGAAACCAGACATAGGAAAGCGTGTGTGAAAAAAATGGGGTAGCAGAGATGTGGTGCTCAGATGGGCCACAGAATCATGACTTGACAAAATCCAGAAATGTTTGGTTTCATTTAGAGACTCAACAAAAGAGCTGCTACATGTTATAAATAATAATCATAACGCAYGATGCAACTGGTCAAAATGACCCACGAGGCGTCAGTTGAATACTGGGTCATTTTGACCTCTACACTTGTTAAAAGATTTGCCACAGAACCTCTACGTTTCTTAGTCAAAAAGTGTGTTGTGGGTAAAACTCCACCACCTCAACACATCTGAATGTGTTTCTTGACATGCTACGTGTGTATGTTGTTTAAAATTAGGCTGAAAACAGAAATTTTCTTTTTTGGAGTTGTTCTCTTCCCACTATTACCATAAACCAATGTTTCTCAGTTATTTTCTGTCATGTCCTTTTGAACTTCAATTTTTCTCACATCTTCCCTGAATTGAAATGCTGTTGAAATACTGTTGAGGACTTGATAATATTTAATTATTTACCTACAGAACAAACCACTGCAGGGCATTCTGCCACAAGCATTCTGCACAGAATCACCTGATACTGGTAAAGAAATACTACATTATGTAAAAGAAATATCTATTACCTTTCATTTTGCTGCACTGACTCATCAATTGAAAATTTAAATTGGATTTAAAATCTATATTAAATGAAGAAAACTTTTTTTACTTCAGGATATGTGGCATATGGTGCTCTTTCATCAAAGCCAATAAATTTTTTAATAATACAGTATAAATATAATTTTTAAGAACATAATGGCCCCCCACAGCSGGATGCACGCCACTATTTGAGAAACTGTCATAAACCAATGTTTTTACAGTTCAACATGGACCATCCTTGGTTCGTTTACTGGGAACCCTTTTATGTGGTTTACATGTTCTCGCCGTGAAAATGCAAAAAATAATAATAATAATGTATGCCAGGTTAACTGCTGAGTGTAGATGGCCGTTTGTCTCTATTTGATCCTGTGATAAATGAGAGATCCGGGTGTTAATTTCTTACAATTTGAATGATGAGTTATTGCTACTGCAAAATACTGAAAACTAAAAAACAGAATTTCTTAATTTATTACAATCACAGACTAAACAGGTACAGACAGACAAATAAGACAGGCTGTTACATCGAGCACTGCAGCACAAATATTTGCACTTAATAAAAAGTAATTATTCAGTTTGCGATTAGTTTCTCAGTGACACGGTATCAGCCAGTAAAAAAAAGGTTCTACTCAAATGTTCAGTCCATACACTTATTATTAMTGCTTCTATTTGTGTTTACTTGTGACAAGTCCCTTTTTATTATACTTTAGTGCTTTCTCCTCTCCCCGGAGTCACAACTACACATCTGCACTCTCCATATGCCCTCCCTCCAATCTTGTGATTTATTTGTCTCAGTTCCAATATTTGTCGGCAGTGTGTTTTCTCCCCCMCTTGTCTAAATGTCACCCCTTCTTCTGAGACAATATAGGGAGTACGAGAGAGAGGGAGAACCTGGGGGCAAATGCAAGGGGGACATCGAGGAAATGGAGGGGGCAACTCGTAAAGTGAGCAACAAAGTTTGGGAAAATTAAACATTAGGTAAGACACTTTCTCACATGTATGAAAACAGATGCTGTGTCACATTCATTGATAAGGGGACATTGCAAGACTCACGTCAGGTTTGATATTTAATCTGAGACGTTTACAGGACCAGACAAAAAGGGTGCAGCTTACACCGAGTGTTTGGCGTTTTGCTGGTGCCAATGCACACATGTGACGCAAAGAGGCAATGACAGCACATGCACGCACAAACAGAGATTTATGTGTGGATTAGACAGTGTTGTATAAAGTACCACAAAGTGATACTTCAGTAAAAGTACAAGTATCTTACCAAAAATTACTTTGGTAAAAGTTATAGTCTCTTTTAGGAATATTACTTGAGCAAAAGTCTTAAAGTATCGATTTAAAATGAGCAGTTAGATTTTATGTAAGGACATTTATGAGGAAGTGACCTCCCTCCAAAAAAAAAAAAAAAAGAAGAAGAAGAAGCAGAAATGACTGTCGAATTAAAGTAATTGATTTGTTAAATTTAGGATGCACTAGTCCCACTGTTTCAGTTTATATACACATATCAAAGGTGCCCAAACCTTTTCCCCAAAATGAAAATCTATCTGAGGGCTGCGGCCAAATGCAATAATATAATTCATGAAATATAAATACTTCTTAGTCCTTTTATTTTAATGATCATGTCCTGCAGGAGTGTGAAATGATTTGTTTGCGTACAAACTAAAACGGTATCAGAGTTTTAGATATTTATACTTCTCATTCATTCACAATTAAAGTCACTCTGTCTAGGAGACACAGTTTATATGAATAGTATTTATTTTTTACAATAACAAGCTGGAATGAAAACAAGCAAAAATGAAATAAAAGTAACGACTTTCTACCTCTTGCCTTTTTTTTAAAAATGTAAGGAGTAGAAAGTACAGATAACTGTGTGAAAATGTAAGAAGTAGAAGTAAAAAGTAGGCTGAAAAATAATTACTCAAGTAAAGTACAGATACCCAAAAATTGTACTTAAGTACAGTAACAAAGTATTTGTACTTAGTTACTTTACAACTCTGGGATTAGATACACAATAAAGGCATACTTACAGCTTTAATATGTGCAACTATTATTCTCTAGAAAAGGCATCTCCTCCTCCCTGAGACGGCATCACTCCACACCCTGGATCACTCCTGCCCTCCCTCCCTCTCCCACCCTCACTGTCCACATCCTTTAAAACCCATCACTCCCATCCCATAGCTCTCACACGTTCTGACTTTTCCCACCTGGAATTGACACATTTGTTTTCAGGAGACAGAAATGAGCGACATGATGACAAGAGGACATTTTTTTCTATCCAAATAAATTACTTTTAATGTTTGGGGAATTCAACTTTTCTTTTTCTATTTGATGATTTTTTTTTAGATGGACCTTTTTATGTCTAAAAGATGAGTTTGATGAGACACGTTAAAGTTTGTCCAGCAGTCCTGTAAGTATGCTTCTTCCGGCAGTTACAGCATGGAAAAACAAGCTGGGGATGAATTTTGCCAGTGAAAGTTTTGTTGCGTTTTGAACTTTGATCAACCGCGAAACAAAAAGAAACAACTTGTCTGTCACAGAGATATGAACTGGTAAGCATCATAACTACTTGTAACAAGCATAAATAAATGTTTTTTAACCGTTTGCTACCAAATGTTAAAATTTATTTCATTGATTAGTTTGTAGTGTAACCCATGTAAGCACCAACTGAAATAAACTTTGACTTTGAARCAAAATTCTTTGAAAATGTTGAGCGAGAGGATGAGTGTCAATCAAATGATGCAATGATTTGTCAAAATAAAAACAGATAGACAGGGACCGTCCCCTGATTCTGGACCAAAACCATTAATCCACACCAAAGAGAATAAAAAATAACCAGGAGGACTGAAGAGGTGGAGGAGGGCAGCGGCGTGCTGTCCAACGACTCAGCCTGACGCACGGAGACGGACAGACGGACAGTCTGATGCCAACTGTCTCCCCTGTCAGTCTCACGGCACCACTCCTCCTCCTGCTGCTATGGGCAACCCACCCCGCCATGGCAACCAACTGGCTGTAAGTTTAGTGAGCGAGGGAGGAATAGAAAGAGTTTGTTTGTCATGCTATAACTTTTAAAAGATGGTGACATGTCTCTAAATCTCTTTCTTTGTCTCTCTCCTGGTGACCTTTTTCTCCTTGTTTTCCCTCCTGCCCTCAGTGTCGTTTTCCCTCTTCTTTCTGTTCTCCCTAAAATTCTGCCCAGACTGTAGACATCCTCATCTTTTTTTATCCTCTACTTCATTATGCATCCTTTCCTTTCAGCCTCACAAACCTGCCGTGAATCGTCCTGGACACTCGCATGATCATTTTTATTTTGTGTGTGTGTGTGTGTGTCCCAGCTCCCTGGCAAGGCTGCCTCGCTCCAGGCCTGTGTCTGGAGCTGCTCCATGTGCACGACTGAGGGGGTTGACCCCAGGGCAGGTGGGGGTGTGCAGGGCACGGGGGGAGGTTATGGAGTCTGTACGCAAGGCAGCAGAGATGGTTATAGAAGAGGTAATCACAGAGCTGCTTCAACACAGAYGTTAAACTCAACGGTAACGTCACTAAAAGTGTTTCTGTTTAACTCAGTGTCAGCACCAGTTCAGGAATCGCCGCTGGAACTGTTCCACCACTCCACGTGGGATCAACGTATTTGGCAGAGTGATGAATCAAGGCAGAAAACCTCCAACATCCCAACATTCCTATCCTCTAAAACACGGATATCTCCGTGACGTCTCTGTCGTTGTTTTCAGGCACTCGTGAGGCAGCCTTTGTGCACGCTTTGTCCTCAGTGGCCGTGGCAGTGGCTGTGACCCGGGCCTGCACCCGTGGGGAGCTGGAGAGGTGTGGCTGTGACAGAAAGGTCAAGGGGGTCAGCCCCGAAGGTGAGCTTAGTCTGTCACTGGGGGAAAAAAATGTAGCAAATAAACCCACTTCTGGATCACTGGAGCAGAAAAAAGCTGCTGCTTGTCGGTGGGAAATTTTGAGCGTATTTTTTTTAAGTTCAGAGTGGGTTTCCCCACCAGCTGTAAGAAGAAACACACCTATGGTTCATACTGAAAATAAAACAGCAGCTGCCATAAAGCAGACGTCTCTTATTCACGTTTTGTTCTTCCTCAGGCTTCGAGTGGTCAGGGTGCAGCGACAACCTGTCGTACGGCGTGGCTTTCTCCCAAACATTTGTGGATGAACCGGAGCGGGCCAAGGGGCTGTCAGCAGGACGCCCGCTCATGAACCTGCACAACAACGAGGCCGGCCGAAAGGTTGGCAACGTCAACAAAAAGTTCTGATTCCTCGTTCCTGTAAGCCGTGGAACTGCCTGATGGTTGACCTGCCTGCCTCTCATTCTCAGGCCATCCTTCACAACATGCAGGTGGAGTGTAAGTGTCACGGCGTCTCCGGGTCCTGTGAGTTGAAAACTTGCTGGAAGGTCATGCCTCCATTCAGACGTGTCGGTGTTGTGCTCAAGGAACGCTTCGACGGAGCCACAGAGGTATCAGAACGTCTTTTTATTTCGTGCAGCTCTGTAGGTCAGAATAGAAAAATGATGCATTGTGACATCATCATCCTTCTAGGTCCGTTTGACTCGTATTGGATCTAGGCCAGCTCTTCTCCCCCGTGACCCCCATGTCAAACCCCCCGCTGCCAGAGACCTTGTGTATCTCGCACCTTCCCCAGATTTCTGCCATCTTGATCCTGAAAACGGTATTCCTGGAACAGCTGGACGGAGATGCAACGGTAAAATCAGATCTATCCTTTAACCAAAAAAAAAAAAAAAAAACAACCAGTAATTCAAATAATCCATAAAGTTAAAAACTGATGTGTCCATCATTTGAAACACACCCAGGGACGTCTCGGCTGGCGCCAGATGGCTGTGAGCTGGTGTGTTGCGGACCAGGTTACAGAGCGGGTCGAGCCGAGGTGGTGCAGCGCTGCTCCTGCAAGTTTTCGTGGTGCTGCTCGGTCCGTTGCCAGCAGTGCAAGAACACGGTCACCATTCACACCTGCAGAGTGTAAAACAGCTCAAACAGAACCAGGATGAGCAAGCAGAACCTCAACACACAAACAAGATGGCACGAGGGAACACAAAACCTCTTAAAGGCAACAGCGAGCAAATTTTTTATTTCAACTTTGGCACCAAACTCTATCATYCAGAGTTTGTTTCTTTGTAACAATACTTTTTGCCTATAAATCTTGTACTGCTGGAAATCCTGTTTATTTCCCTTTAAATGGTGCCACATTTGTTAGGAAATGGACTTGTGTGATTATTTATAGGACAGGACAACTKAAGTCTAAAAAATTACCTAATTGGTACCTGTTTGTCAGCTCCTGTGAGCAACCAGTGGCAATCCCATATATCATCTGAGACCAAGCTCAKCCAGGGATGACAAGAATCACCCCAACAAAAACAGACTTATCAGAGATTACACACATATTTGAAAAGAGGTTGCAATTGCGTCCCTGCAGCCCCTGTGGCTGTGTAAGGTTCTTCCACATGCTAGTGAGGCCTTTGTTTTTGAAATAATGAATTGTTAAATTGCCAAAACATCTTGTCTTTAGATTTTAAATATCCAATCAAAACTAAACACCAGCTAACAAGAGTTATARCAGAATAAGCGGATTGTCAAAGAAGTTTTGGCAAGTTTTATCCTCTTCATTTAAGGAGAAATAGACAGGCTTTCCAACAAGAGAAGATTTTTGCCAAGAATCATTACAACAAAGAACTAATCATCCAAACACAAATGTTCTTATTTTTGTACTGTTTATGTATCCCACTTTAAATAGGCTCTATAATGTTAAAGCTGTAAAACATTTTATAAAGGTAAAAAGGACGTTATAATAAAAACTTATGCTCAAATTAAAACACAAACACATGCAACACAACAGTAACTCAATGACCTGACAAAGCTTTTGAAGCTGAACTTAGAAAAGTTGCCACTTTATTTTTTTCTTTTGTTAAAACGTTTTTTATTGTGTTTTAAACTAGCACGTCTTCGAACATTTTACTGTATTTATGTTTTCTTTTTTGATTCTGGTTTATTTATTTATCTATCAGTTTTTGCTTCTTTTCTATTCAGCCGTGAGCAGCAAGAATAACCTTTACTTACATCTGTGTCTGTTTTCAGTTTTTGCCCTTTGACATCATGTGAAATTCTTCAACTTGTTCCTGCAGAGGCAGCACTTTAGGGTCTGCTCAGAAACCTAATAAATTTATAGTTGATCTAAAATAACAAGGTGTCTTGGCGTTACTGCTTCTCAGTTTTGGGAATGTTTTCGTTGGCGTGCTGAAGAGTCCTTGGGCAAGACAATAAGACCCTCGTGAGCCAACAAGACATTTACAGGTGTAATATTAAAGAGCAGTATAGAAAGAGTAAAATACTTAATAGATTCCAGTTTTTGTGTAAATAGGTAAACAAGAAACATTGTAAAGCGCTTTGCAAAACAATTATAATTTTGTACCAAACAAACCACCTGTAAGAAATATAGAACCTAGAAAGAATGGGATCCTTAAATAACTGAGGCCAGTTAGTAGCGGCCATCTTGGATTTTGACATGGCGACCCTCATTTGAGGAAACTAAAAACTAGAAAGCAAAGTTTATTCTGAAACTATGCACAGAGCTATTTTTCCATTCTATAGTGAAAAACTTGCCATCGATCATACATGTGCTTTATGATAGAAACTAAACTGCAAGGACAACGTGTTTCACCAGTTAAAAAAAMAAACAAACAGGACAACTTTATTATTTTTTCTTAAAGGCATTTTATTAAAAACATCCTGTGATTTAAAACACCCATATATTCAGTAGAAAGAGTCGTCATAATCTCTATCAAGATTAACATTTATCAAAAAAATATCACAACTTTCTCATTTCATATATCACTCTTGGTTGTCTAACAATAAAAAACAGGATAAAACAAATAAAGTTTGAACAGAGAAAAAAAATTCAAGTTTTGAAATCAAAAAAAGCTACAAAGATTCCCCAAAAACAGCATTAAAAAGGATAAAAGAAATTCACCTGAAAACTTTTTTTGTGAAAATGCATTTTCTCCTAAGAGGGAGAAAAGAAGGGAGGTGGAAAAGAAGTAAACATGACCGACAGATATGTTTGTTTGGAGTGATAATAAATCTCTTGAGCTTTCAATAGCCACTTCAGTGTGTGTGTGTGTGTGTGTGTGTGTGTGTGTGTGNGGGGGGGGCAGAAAACAAAGCAAAGTACCAGTTAACTCGTTCCTTAAATTAATCTATTACTTAAGTGTCCCCAAATTGCTTTTACTCAGACACAAAGTCAAAAGGCCACTTTTAATGAATATTTAAAAAAGAGCATAGAGCTATGAGAGAATACGAGGGGACACAGAATAAAAAAATACAGTAGTTTTTAAAGGTTTTCAGAAATAAACTCTGGCACTTATTGCATGTTGAAAGGTTTTGCGACTTTAGCCTCAGTTTCTTTAAAAGGCACAATCATTAAACATGTATTACAATAAATCTTAATGGCACTAGACTTCTCATCCCCTTTGGTTTTGTCCTTTTTTTTTCTTTTTTAATTCATTGATCTGTTGAATAATACCACAACTCTCTCACACCATGACATCCCTCATTGCTGACGTTCTTTTATAGCAGCACACACCTCTTCTTAGTTTTGGTCTCAGGAGGTTCCAGCGCTGCCAGTATGGCCTCGTCAAATACATTCTTAAGTCCTCGCTGTTTTAGAAGGAGGAATTAAAAGAAGATAAAATTAGATATGAGAGAAGCAGCTGCCTGTTTTATCAAACCTGGTAATGTGAGGTGGAAATACCTGCGTGAGTGCAGAGCACTCCACATATTTGACGGCTCGGAGCTCACGTGACAGCTTCTCGCCGCTCTCGGGGTAAAGGGGACGCTGTTTGTTCTTTGCCAGCTTCTCAACGGTGTTCGTGTCATCCCGCAGGTCTACTTGTGTGCCCACCAATAGAAAAGGTGTGTTTGGACAGTGGTGAGAAATCTCAGGCACCCACTGGAAATAAGATAAATAAATTAGATTTTTTTTCCTACAAAATTATCTCTGTTCATTAATAAACATGTGATCTGTGCTGAAAAATGAGTCATAATTAGCACTACTGACTTTTKCCATAACTGATATCTGCATAAAAATAAGTCCATAAAAACAACATCCAATCCCCGTTATTAAAGTAGCATATAATCTAAATCTAGGGAAATCTCTTCGTACAACGTTTGGCATTATTGGGAAGTTTTGGGATTCCCTCTTTTAAAATGTGTGTGTGTGTGTGTGTGTGTGTGTGTGTGTGTGTGTGTGTGTGTGTGTGTGTGTGT